AGGAAGGGAGGGAGGAAGGAAGGAAGGAAGGAAGGAAGGGAGATAAGGAAGGCAGGAAGGAAGGAAGGAAGGAAGGAAGGAAGGAAAAAGGAAGGGGCAGTGCCACTTCCCGCAGGCACCCGCGTGGGTCTCGTACCTGCCTCCCTCGGGTGCTCAGCATAGAATTCTAGGGGTTGGAATGGAACTTGGAGATCACCTAGTCCCAACCCCCTCTGCCACCTCCCACCAGACCAGGTTGCTCAAGTCTTTATCCATCCTGGCTCTGAACACTGGCAGGGTCGGGGCAGTTCTGGTGTCCTCACTATAAGAAGGACATGGAACTGTTGGAGCAAGTCCAGAGGATGCCACGAGGCTGCTAAGAGGACTGGAGCTTCTCCCCTGTGAGGACAGGCTGAGGGAGTTGGGCCTGTTCAGCCTGCAGAAGAGAAGGTTGTGTAGCAACCTCATAGCAACCTTCCAGTGCCTGAAGGAGCCTACAGGGAAACTGGAGAGGGACTCTTTTAGGTGCTGCAGTGACAGGACAAGGGGAAGTGGGCACAAATGGAAAGAGGGGAGAATTAGATTAGATATTTAATGGGTTTTTTCCCATAAGGGTGGTGAGACACTGGCACAGGTTGCCCAGGGAGGCTTTGGCTGCCCCAACCCTGGCAGTGTTCAAAGCCAGGCTGGATAAAGCCTTGAGCAACCTGATCTAGTGAGGAGGTGTCCCTGCCCAGGGCAGGGGGTTGGGGCTGGATGATCTATAAGGTCCATTCCAACCCCTAAAATTCTATGATTCTATGACCTTTAAGATCCATTCCAACCCTTTAACATTCTGTGACTCTAACATCCCACATCTGAAACTGCTACAGCATATGTTTACTCCTAAAAAATTTTATTTGCAACTTCTTTGAAGGCTCAGTTTTTATCTGTAGATTCCTGGAGCTGTTAGGTACTGGCATATGCACAGGTTCAGATACCTTATCAGTGTCACACCGGGAATAAGCTGAAATTATATTTATATTGTGGCTAGTAAACACTGCTTGAATACATCTGGCTTGTAATTGACAGATCTTTTTGTGGTCACAGTTTTAAAGGACACACTGGAGAAAAGAGGTGCCCTTGCAGAAATCAAAGCCAGGATCAGAGCTGAGGTGTTCAATGCACTGGATGACCAGAGTGAACCGAGGCCACAGCTCTGCCATGAGAACCTCCTCATCAACGAGCTCATCCGGCAGTACCTGGAGTATAACAGATACAAATACACAGCATCTGTGCTAATTGCAGGTACTGGGCATCAATTTTTGTCAGCACTCTAATAAGTCTGTTATTATTTGAAAGATTGTTTGAGTGATTCCACTGGTACTGTGGAAGTAATAAGTGTGAGAAGCTACATAATCTTGTCTTCCCTCTGAAATTCATAAGGTATAAAAAACCTTGCAGCATTAAGCCAAATCATACCATTAATTTTCAAGAAAACTTACTGTCTGCTCCTTATCCTTGAAGTAAATTGTTTGGCAGAGTAGCTAAAACTTACTGTCTGCTCCTTATCCTTGAGGTAAATTTTCTGGCAGAGTAGCTGGTGTAAGAGCAAGACAACTTGCTAGCAGCCTGCAAAATCAAAATACCTGTCTTGAAATGTGTGATAGTAGTACTTCAGAGAAAGAGTTGTTTGCCTGATTAAATTATCGTTATACTGTAAGACTTCTTTAATGCTTTTGTTAGATTCCTTTAGCATGAAGATAAAAACTGTAATGTGCTGTTGTAAGTCGTGTGAGTTTGAAGCAGTAATGTTTGAGTGAGCTCCCTGGAATTACAATATACTGTTAGTTATGAATGGTCTGAATGGGAGGTCTGTGCTCTCATGCTCTTCTGAAGTCTCCTGTTACTTCGTGACTTTTTTCTAACCAGTCTTAAGAATTTTGGGGAAATCTCTTTTCCAGAATCTGGCCAGCCTGAAGTGCCCTTGGACAGAGAGTTTCTTGCCAAAGAGCTGCATATAGTTGAAGACACAAATGGAAAATCAGTGTAAGGAGGAATTTTGGAATGCACAGTATATTCTGTATATCAGTGTACTTTTCTCTTCAGAGTTCCTATAAATCACATAGCAACATTCTCATCAGTTGAAATGTGACTGGATCACACACCTGCTCCAGTGTGCTGGATTCAGTCTCATGATGCCAAACATGGAGCTATTTTCAAGCATGCTCCAAACTAGCATTTAATTCTGCCAACACTGTGGCATTCTCCAGATCGTGTCCTTGCATACCAAAACCTCTTGCATACCCAAGTCTCTTACCAGTACAGTCTGTTTTCTACAGAAAACAGATATGCTCTTTGCATATCAGTGAGTTGCTTTGTAGAGCAATAAAAAGATAATTTTGCTGTGAGATTAGATATAAATTCACAGTGCTGCGATATGACCGCGTTAATGAGCTGGGAACTGAAGCAGACTGAAGTATGTTCAGCATTCTCCATAGCTTGTGCTGTCTGAGGCTGTCAGAGGCTTAGGAAGAACTGTTTTGGGATGTGGAGTGGTCTAGGGTCCACCAAAGTCTGATCCCTCATGAGCGTGTGGATCCTTCTGATCCACGAGTGAGAAGGTGGGTCTATGTTCCTCTGCTAAGCAGAGTGCAGTTCTTCACCCCCCAGGGGCTCTGGAGTTCAGTGGAGAGTGTCTCTTGGAGCCTTTTAGGGGAGTGTTGGTGTTCAGGGTGGGCTTAAGTCTGGGCCTATTTACGTAATGATACTTGGCATAATGTATTTTAAACCATTAAAGATGTCTGTATGTATTCTAGAAGTAAACATTAAGGTCTAAGAAGTCCTGAGGAAAGGGTGTACTTTTAAATGCTCAGTATTTCATAGACCTCACAGATTCCTTTTGTAATTTCTGTCTTAAACAGACCTCTCCTGTATGGAATTATCTCTCATTTCTTACATGGTAAAGGAGAAGGTACCCAGAGTACCCTTCCCAAAGTGTCTTTGGTGAATTACCCAAAGCAGAATCTTGGCAAACTACCTACTGAGAGATATCAAAAAGGTGGGTGGACTTTCTCTCCTACATGGGAATGTGTTTTATTTATAAAGCAGACTTTTTAAAGTACTGCAGACAGCCAATGGATACAATTTTCCCCCAGTGCAAGGTACTGTGTCACTTGTCACCTTGTAGCTACTTATGAGTCACTAGAGGGAAGGGGAAAAAACTAATTATTTAGCTTTATCCCATTAAGTCTTTTGGACTGTCAAAAATAGAAGACTCATTTAAACTGTACAGCTGTGCTGTTGTAATTTGTGGATGGCAGAATATCTGTCATGCCACCTATGCATTTAGAAAGATTTATTGCTCTACAGTTACTTGTAAAGACCAGAAAATATTAATAACCCAATCCTCAGTATCAGAAAGGTCATCTACCAAATCACTTTACCATTCCCTGAAAGTTCAGCTGGCCAAATTGTATTCCTTTATACCATTACAAATCTGAAAAGGGTCAGCTGGGGACAATCTTGTTACACTGGCAATTTAATACCAAAATTTAACCTAAGTTCTCAAGGGAATGTATTTAATAGTGGGCACATCTCATTGTTTCTCATCTGGTCTAACTTACCTGAATTCTATAGAATGTTCTTACCTCCTTAGCTGTCAGTTCTGTATATGAGCATAAACCTTTTCTGAGGACATAATTCACATCCCATTGACCACAGCAGCTTAAGCCCTGAATTCATTGCTCTGTAGTAAACACTGCTAAATCTTATTTGCCCTTTCTGGTCTGCTTTCTGACTGGTTACAATTAATGCTGCCTAAGCTGCAGGATGAAAGGGTTCATTGATCCATTTTTTTCCTTCAAAGAGTCTGCCTGGCATATTGCTTCTTTTTCTACTGTGAGAATTCAGTTCTATCCTGTTTGTACTATCAGCTATTTGGTTTGTGTCCAAAAATTTGGAAGTGTGAGGCCTGAGATCTTGCTGACATCTAAAAAGTAGAGAGAAGTACTAACACCTTTTTTTATAACAGTTAATTCATGGAGACTATGCTGTTTCCCTTCTGCCAGAAGAGGGGGCTGAAGAAATAAAATGTCCATACCAAAACTGCTTTCAATTTCCTCTTTGTTAGAAAGTAATTGTTCTTAGCAGAAATTTCTCAGTTTTCAAAACAAGCTCAGTGTATAGAGGAATTGTTTCTCAAGTAGAAATTTGTCTCTCGTTTTGGAAGTGCTGACCCTGCACAGGGTTGTCTTGCCCTGTTGACTCCAATATAACTTCACACAGAGATTTAAATGTTTGCTGTTACTTACAGAACTCAGGATTAATCATAAGGCACCACAGCACATTGCTTTTAGAACTAAACAAAAACATACCAGCTTTAAGCTTTTTAACCTTTGAGTGGCTGAAATTACCTTCTGCTTGTGCTTGTGGAACATATTAGTGAGGACCTAAAGGCAGTGGGTTTAAAATGCTAATCATTCAGCTATTTTAATTAGGCTGCATATTCAGGTAATCAAGTCTGTTCATAAAATCAACCTTATTTAACATCTAACTGGATTTTTATATTAGAAATTGTCTTGCTTATTTAGATACATGCATATTCCAGCAGATAGGGGATCCTAATAAAAACGTGAGCTGAGCTGGAAGTTGTCTGAAATTTAGTCTTTAGTAATGCAAAGTATCATATAGTTGCATGGAAACATTTATTTTGCTTGGAAACATTTATTTTGCTAGAGTTCCCTATGATGATACTGTGTATCAAAGTCAATAACATATAACTTTGGACTTCCAGATGCCTGAGAATATTTTTGTCTGTGTTTGGTTTCCAGACAGAATTCCAGAACCAGGAAGGACTTCTGGCACGAGTATCAAAGATCCACTTCTTTTACAAAGTATAAAGAGATGATACCTTTCATTTCCTAAGTTCTCCTGTGAAGTTTTGTAGGAGTTAATTAGGGAAATTCTTCATTGCATAAATTTCCCCAGTATGTCCAGTGGGACCATTTCAGTGTGTAACATCTACAGGATGACAAGGTCATACTTACTGTCAGGGAAAAAAATGTTAGCAAAGACTCTTCCTCCAGTGCTGATAGAAGGAAAACAGTTTAGGAGATCACATTAGGGAAACCTATGTCTAGAATTGAGCCAGAAAATCCTGGGTTTATCCAGTACATTTTTATAAATTAACTTATCATTTCAGTACTTTCCTTAGTATGTTATGTCTTTGTGTGGTTTTTTTCCTGTGCTTCTGAATAAAATTCTTCAATTTTATTCAATTTTATTCTGTGTGGTATTTTGAGAGTGTTCAAACGAAACATTTATATCACTCTTTTTAAAAAGAAGAAGCTGCTGCTTTTAAATAAGTAAGGAAAAATAAATTTCAATAGAAAATGAAAGAGCTTTAGAGGGATAGTTAGTTTTAGTTCCCCAGAAATGAGGACTATATTTATCTTCATGCCAGCAAACTAATGAGGGTAAGGTTTTTCCATCTGGAGTTGCTATAAATTGTATGGTGTAACACTGGGTATATGGGAGGGGAAGCAACTTTGTTTTTTTTTTTTTCCCAAACAACATGAAACTTAGAGTCAGACAAAGCTAAAAATAAAATTGATAACAGATTACTGATTCCCAGAACTTTTTTAGCTGAGGTATTTACATGTTCTGAAATGGTAATTTATTTTAAAAGCCACATATCCAGGGATACATAAAAATAACAGGTCAGCTATTTTTTTCTCATTTTAACAAAATATATAAATGTTACAGTGGTACTGAGAGTTTAGTATAAGGAACTTTTAGGGTTGGGTTCTTAAAAATCTTGATTGTCAGAGAAATGGTAAAGTAAGTGAAGAAAAAACAAGAGAGGAAGAGAACATGCACTTTGTGAATATGAAAGGACCCTGAGTCACACACACTGAGAAGCTTTGCCTTTATCTTGATTTGACCCAGTTAGCATTACAGGTGGTTTTTTATTTCCACAAGCAGCCTAACCTCTGCCCGACTGTGAAACTGCAGAGCAGTTAGGGCTGAACAGAGAAGCTGCTTTAGTCCGTTTGAAGCCTCGACAGTGAGCTCATCTCCTGAGTGTGACTGGCAATGCTGCCAGCTCCCTGTTTGCTGATTTAGAAGTGTCTCAGGCCTGTTGCCAGGAGGGGAGGACACGTGTTTTTAAATAAATCTCAATCAAATCCGTCTGTAAGTCTCTTGTAGCTTTGCATCAATAGTAATTGACAGTGGGTCAAGCGAGTGAATCTCTGTGTGCCCTCAACATTTGCTCTGTGCCCCCATCTGTGTCAGCTTCAACTACTGGACTGTCAAGCCATCCACATGAAAACTGCTCCATGGGATTCTGCCACATTACTGGGGCCTTGCCTGCCACACTAATGCAAATATTACAATTGCTGATCTCTCTCAATTTCTTTCTCTAAAATATAATAATAATAAAAAAAAAGGTTTCTAAGGTGCTACTTGCAAGTTACCTTCATTTTGGAATGAGCTGGAAGTGCCTCTATGGAAAGTTGCAAAATTGAATTTCTGAACAATGTAGAAATGATTGCTGTGGCCACAGAAATCCCTGAATTATTACTCTTGTTTTCCAGAGGTGAAATGCTAGACTCCTGTTTCTCCATAAACCAGTGAATCAAATTGTTATATATACTTCGATTCTGAAGTGTCTTTTCAAGGGCAGGGAAAAAAGGCTCTGGGAAGCACAGAAGCTCAAACCTTCTATGCTATGCAAATGTTTCAGCGTAACCACAGCCACTGCCTCTGCTTTCTGTCTTCCCACCATAGATCATTCAGATGCTGCCCAGGTGCCAAGAATCTCCCTGGGAAATGGATTTTTAATGGTAGAAATTAAATACAATTTTTGTCCTGGTCAAAGAAGGCAAAGGGATGTTTGGTACTTGCTCTTTCCCAAGCACACAGCTCAGCAGGCTCCTGATCTCCACAGGCAGGAAAGCAGAGGCTGTTACGAGTGTGTCCTTCACTGAGATGTGATGTAACAATGGATGTCTGAAATCAGAGAATAAATACATTAAAATGGAGGGAATCAGGACTATTTTCTTAGGGGATTCAGCCCATTGTCTGGACCCAGCACTGGACAGTGGGTGGAAGCTGATCTCTTTGCTCTGAGAGCAACATGCATTTCATCTAATTCTCTGATACCCTCACAGTCCAGATTAGAGGTTTTGGAACAATCTCTTGTTTCAAAGTGTGGTCATTGTACAAGCAAATTAAAATCAAATTAAAGTGTATTTCCAGTGATATTTATTTGCACAACAAAGCTTTGAAATATGTCTATGAAAATATACTGGTCTAATCACGTCATTAAGGGTCTAACATTTATCTTGACAGTACATAAAATCTGAGATCATCTTTCAAGATGCTGATACACAGCAAGTCCTGTGAGTGTCAGACTGCCTTGTTAACAGGGGAAGAGGAATTCCAAAACCTATACAACATGGATGCACTTACCATTCCCTAAAATCTTAAGCTAAGTGAGATCAATACTTAGATGAAAATAATTCACAGTCCTAGAGTCACAGGTTCAGGTTTTAGAAGAAATTCCCACCTAGGTAAGCATACAAAAAATTATTTGCTGAATTTCAGAAGGTCCATCCACCTTAATTACAGCCTGGCATGTCTTGCATTAACTGCTCTTATTCTTTGTACTGATATCAGAAAATGGAAAAAAAAGATATATAAGCATGTAGAAGTTTAGGGGCTTTAATGAGCAAAATGCACTTCTGAATTTTGTTGGAGACAGAAGAACCAAGAGCATTATGGAGGGACTGATGTTAAAAGAGGCTGTTCATTGCCTAAGCTCGATATGATGAGTGAAGGTGACAAGGAGCCAGCGAAGTTTGGTGTGGATGTCAAATCTGGAAAGCACTTTGAAAGAACTTAACCCACAAGCTGTAAAAATAAAAAATCTTTACATCTCATTTTTGCTCTCCCCCAGAGCGAGAGCAAACTCTGTCTCTAGACTCCACAGCATCTGTGCTGTTGCAGAGGTTTCAGTTTCTGTCACGCACAGGGGAGATTCTTGTTGAAGTTTTATCAGCACACTCCAAGGACTCAGTTTCCCTTTCCTTCCTGAGTGCCCTTTGTATCAAGCTGAATCTTGGTGTCAGTTGATCCGTTTTCCGGAGGAGTGATTATCATTGGGTAATTGTATTTAGGAAAAGAAACCCCCAAATGCTTGTTCACACTTGCAAAGACACACTTTGCCACCCTTGGGGCCCAGCTGACTCAGAACTGACCTGTGTGCTTCACCTACTGCTCTTGACCTGTGGCCAGTGTTAAGCACAAAGCTGAACATGAAGCAGTTGTCAAGTATTTTACCTCATCAGACTGTTCTCATGGTGAATTGTTCTAGTTTGGACTCAGACTGTCCCTCCTGTAACCCATCAGTATGCTTAGCACTGCCAACTACATTTGTCAGCTTAGAGAAACATAGTTGGGAAAACTTCAGTAAAAACATTTTTAAACAAAAAAAAAATAATCGTTTCTCTGACACATTACTTAACAAACTAACAGCACCATTTGGGCTTTTTTTTTTTCTCCCCCCTCTACTGTGTTCAGGTTCCACCATGCTAAGGCAGCTGAAAGTTCATTTCTTTCCTTCTCAGGTCCTTCTCTTTTTTTCTCCCCCCAAATACAATATTTATAGTGCAAATTCCTGGAGGAGATATTTAAGGCCTGGCTGCTCAATACTTTTTTTATTCTAGAAAAGTAATTAAAGCAAATAAATAAACAAATCAAGGGGGTTTAAATAAAGCTCTTTTTTTTTCTTTGTTTGTCGTCACAAAATCATTGTCCACTGGGAATGCACAGCTTTCATTTTGAGGCAACTTTGGCTCAAAAAAAAAAAACAACAACAAACCACCACAACATTCAGGAAACCCCAAGCAGGCTATTGGTCAGTATAGTCTTACATTAATTCTCAAGTGAAGGCTGGAAGCCATGCTTACACTTATCAGTTCCTACCACACATGGCTTGAGAGTGCAACTCTTTCAGCCCCAGCAGTAATATTTTTTAGACTTTCCAGCTCCGTTTAATGTCACATCATACATCACCCTCCACTGCTGCTGCTGCTGTTAAACACCCTCCTCAGGCAGCAAGCCTGTGTGTGCACATGCAGCAGTTTGCAGAGCAGCCAGAAGAATTTCCACTCCTTTTTAAGCTACTATTATAATGTGTCTGGTTCTGTGAAACAGCCGCATGAGTTTAAAAGGAACTTCTTAGGATAACTTTGATGAATGTTAAAATGATGATACTTTTCAGAAGATCCCCTTGCATTTCATGATTTTTCTATACAGAAGCTAAGTTTGCAACTGAGAAACTGAGTTAAAAAAAATAGGGTGAACTAACTACCCTTGGAGGAAATTTCTGCTAACAAGGGCAAGTTTCTTGGATTTACCTCCTGGTGATCATTTTCCTTGGCTTTGCTCCAACACAGTCACACGTGCACGAGTCTGATATGACACTGCTGCTTTTTGGGTCCTGGGAGGGCTGGGCATAGCTGCAGGGAAGTCCTGCACCACAGTGGACACCAACCCTCCACCTGGTAGGACATGCTGCAGCGACTGGGACTGTGCCACTGTGCTGGCAAATCTGGTCTTCCCCAGCCAAGGCCTCAACATGAGTCTGTACCTGTTATTTCTGAAAAAAGAAACACAGTGCTCTGTCCCTCTCTCCTCTTTGTCCAAATTTGTTCACCACTGGCCAGAGCTAGAAGAAGGGGCTACAGGTTGATCACACCTGTAAGTTCCTGACCAAGTGACAGCAAAGGTTTTCAGCCCAGCCTCCCCTTACAGGTATTTTTTTCAGATGATGAGACCAACATGAGCCTCATCCATCTTCCCCAGGAGGGTTTATTTTCCAGAGAAGACAGAGCTGTTGAT